TTTTTCGATAGCAATAAGGTACTTTTGTTCATCAAGAGTTGAATTTTCCTTATGAGGAGAGATAATTGTCTCTCCAAATTTGTATGCTTAATATTTTTTTTACCAATTTTTAACAAATTCTTTTTTATTAAATCGAATCTTATAACGAAAAAATATTTAGTTTTATCAAGTTTCAATCTATTGAATATCCCTCTCGATGACCGTTTAACGACCTCATGATGTGACTTAAATTCCTATGAAAATGAAAACATAATTTTCAATTTCTTCGCGATTTAATTTAGAATTTAATCATAAATAATAATTGAGTTAGTCACAATCACCTGAACTGAAGGTTTCTACTTGTCAAATTTAATGATATCGTAGTTGTTGTTCTCCACTGCATCAAGGCGTATCAATTCCATCTCTTCTGTAGATTACTAAAATTATGCTATTGTGCATCTTGTCGTTGATCTGATAGTTTTGTTCAGCGTCCATTGAAATCGGATGTTTCTTCTCCGTTTTGTGCTCAACAGCCTCCACTGTTTCCATTGTTTGCGTTTTTTCATCGCTTCCCGCCTTCTCTGTGACGATATCAAAACTAAAGTTATTTTCAGAACGTGCAGTTGTGGTTTCACTTGAATCATTTCGAATCATTTCTTCGTTATTAGCCGAAGTGCAATTGTGACCAATTCGATTTGAAATTGCGACCAAATGTTGCGGTGTAATTGATTCAAAAAGCTTTTCAAGGTATGAGCAGTTGAATTTGTTGCTGTCGATGCCGGCGATTTTCAGGTTTCGAAGATCTAACGGAAGCGTATTCAAATCCAATGTTTTTAATTGATTATAGGATAAATCCAGTCTGGTTAATTTTGATAAAGACGAAAATGTGCCCGGTTTAATTTCTGTTAAGCTGCAGTTGGACAATGACAAAGTCTCAAGTTTTAAATTATTCGCAAATGTTTTTTTGTCCACATTTTTAATTGGATTGCCTGATACGTTGAAATGCACCAAAAATTCTAAGATGGTCAAAGTATTTTCCAAAGCATTCATTTTTGAGTTTGTGATCTGATTAAACGAAATATATCTAAATGCGTCACATTTGAATGTGCATCAAATATCTGCCGATTCAAACACGTAAGTTTATTGTGCGTTAAAATCAATTTTTGTAGGCCCAATGCACTAGAAAATGCAAAGTGATCAATCGTAATTATTTTGTTATTCGATAAATTGACATTGTTTAGTTTTTCCATATTGTGGAACAAAAACGACGGAATTTCAACAATATTATTAAATGATAAGTCCAACGTTTTCAAGTCAATCAGTATTTGGAATGCATTGACCGGCAATTCAGTAATGTTGTTGTATAACAATAACAAAGTTT